GGAGAGGAGGAGGAAGATGAAGGGGGTTGGGTAGGAGGGGGCTGAGCCGAATAAACAGCAAAGGCCCAGGAGTCCAGAGACTCAGATTCTAGTCCCTGCACCTCTCCTGCAGCCTCGCTGAGCAAGTCCCTTCCCCTCTCTGGGCCTTGGCTCCTGCCCTGTACAAAGAGGGGCTCAGTCAGGCCTGCCAGTCTCAGCCCCTACTCAGCACGTCGACTCTGCAGCTCTGCAGGGAGGTCCCAGGGCCGGGCAGATGGGAGATGGTCCCTGGCTTCCGCCATCAGCGGGGAGGTCTCCCCGGGGCAGGTGAGGCTCTGGGGAGCTGAGCTTGCCATCCGAGGCCCTCTGCACAGAGGAGCCATCTCGCCCAGCCTGCAGCTGTCCTGCTTCTTCTGACTCAATGGCTCTCAATGTCTCTTAACCCAGGGCCCAAAGAAAGAAGGCTGGTCCCACCAGCTGGGGTCCAGACACCAACCCTACTCCACGCTCCTGGGGAAAATGGAGGTGTGTTCTGAGCGCTGAGCACCTGGGACAGGTGTGCAGTCGTCTCATTAGAGCCAGGAAGCAGCTGGGGGCGGGGGGAGATGCCCCTCTCAGTTGCCGAGCGCCAGATGGAGGACTGACCTCTGCTCCCCCGAGCCCTGCCCGCTCCACGTATAAAAACAAACGTGACATCAGAGAAGAAAAGAGAGGACAGGCCAAGGGTCTGTTTTGCAGTGGCAGACAGAGATGGCGGCCCCAAAGTGGAGGCCGCAGGTCCATTGTGAAGTGCCACGCCTTCCTCTGACCCTCAGTGACCCAGTGCACGGCAGGCAGAGGTCCAGTTTCCTGCCACTTAGAGCTGTGTGACCCTGAGTTAGTGACTGCACCTCTCTGAGCCTGGGTTTCTCCACCTACAAACAGGAATGATAACAGCAGTGCCTACCCTAGAGACTTGGGAGGGTTAAATGAGCCAACTCGTGTAAACACCCAGGAAAATGCAAATGTTAGACTTCTGACCCAGCAGTTCCATGTCCAGGAAGCCACGCCTTCAAACCCTCCCTCATGGGCACAACCTCCACAGACAGGGATGCTCAGTGTGGTGGTTTGGACACCAAAGAGCAGGAAGCTCCCTGAATGATTGGCAGGACTGTTACCTAGGCGGAGGCCCACCCACTCCAGGCAAGCCCTTGCCTTCCACAAAGAGAATCACAATGACCTCAAGTGCAAAGAGGTCAAGACTCGCTGTGAGATAAGAAGAGCAAACGGCGTAGAAATGGAGATGGTGTGGACCCATCTGTGTAAAGACACCAACCAAACAACCAACCAAATATTTGTTATGTGTGCAATGTAGCTAAATGACATTTTAAAGGCCTGAATATAAGCCTATCATTTAGTTTGCAATAGTACACCCATCTCATTTCCTGGTGTTAATAACGTGCTAACTACAGCTGGGTACAGTGCCACCACGGGAAAGCTCACGGGGCTCCATGTACTGCTGTTCCGGCTTCCTGTGAGTCTATAATTACTTCAAATCAAAAAGTGGATCAGAGCCCTGGATAGTGTGAGGCAGTTGGTTGAGCTTAGTCCCGTGCGCTGAAGGATCACCAGTTTGGTTCTCAGTCAGGGCGCATGCCCAGGTTGCAGCTTTGATTCTGAGTTGGGGTACATGCAGGAAGTGGCCGATCGATGTTTCTCTCTCTCTCTCCCTCTCCCTTCTTCTCTCTCTAAATTGATAAAAATTTAAAAACAAATTTTAACAGGAAAAAATCCAGCCTGTCCAGGTAGTGACACTCTCCTGTGTGACCATGTCATGGTGGACCTGTCATATGCATCTGTCAACACCCATGGAATGTACAAGTCCAAGAGTGAACCCTTGTGTAAACTATAGACTTTAGTTAACAGCAGTGTATCTATATTGGTTCTTCCGCTGTAATAAATGTCACCTCTAAACATTAACAATGGCCGCCTCTGAGGACTCAGGGATCTGGGGGCTGAGGAGAGACGTTGTTCATTCTATAGTCTTCTATATTGTTTCCATTTTTCACAGGAAGACAACTTCGCAGTGTTGCATATGCAGTGGCTTTAAGACAATAAAGACAGTAAAACAATTTGCAAAGTGCCACTTGAATATACAGTCATTGCTTGATGTTGGTGGCATCACTGTTGCTATTCCCACTGGCCTGTGACACACGGGGTCTTCCTCCAGCTCAGGGAGCGACTGGCCACCTCCTCCTATCCTTGGCTGGAGTGCCCTGGTTGCTGGATGTCGGGGTGCCCCAGCAGAAAGCAGGGGGCTGGGCTCTTGTCATTATTGCTGCTGTCTCTCCTTCCTGCAGGCCCCCCGGGGCTCCCCGGGTTACAGCCCCATCCATTTGGGGGCTGACATCTTTATTACGGCAGGCGGGGAGTTGCCGGGCCGACTGGCAGCCTCCCTTCATCAGCCCATTACGCGGCCCCGCGTTGGGTTATGTATGGGCCTGACTGCGTCATACATCAGGCAACGGGGTCAGCAGCAAGCAAAACGGCAAACTGAGTGAAAGACAAATGAATTAAACCTCCCACCAGCCTTCTGAGAAAAACGAAAGCAAAGCGACGCGGCCATGAAGGCAGGTATTGCTCATCCTTGTTACTCGTTTGGATTCTGAACGTTATTGTCATTTTTGTGACGTAATGATGGACAGCGGGCAGAGTGACAAATAATCTCAGACTTTCGGGGAAAGTCTACATCATCTCTGACAGCGACAGGACCACAGGGAAGGAGAGGATTCGAGACCCGCCTAAGTCAGTCTTGCAGACTCGAGCTTCACCAAGGAAAACCCCCCTGGATGGTGGACGGATGTTCTATTAATAACGATAGCAATAATAGCAATAATCATCACGATGGCAGAGCTTTATATGATATATTTATTTTAAATGTTGTAAGCCTCCAGAACCCTAAGAAGCAGTCACCATCACCCCCATTTTATAGGTGAGGAGACTGAGTCTCAGAGGTCAGGAGACTCACTAATGACGCAGGAGAACCAGAACTGAACGCAGGTCACCCTGGTCCCGGAGGCCTGGCCTTTACCCCCGATTGTGAGCTCTCCTGCCTCTAATCTGCTCATCAGGATGAACGTCCAGATGGAGGAATGGAGACCAGAGGTTGAACGGAGATGGGAGGATTGGGTGGAAATTAGACGGAGCTGAGGAGCTGTTAGGAGTGAGGCGAAGATCCAGGCACCCAGAATGCACCCAAGGACTGGGCCAGCTGGGCAGCCTCGTAGAGGAGAAAAGCAGAGGCTTTGGAGGAAGACAGGCACTGATTCTAACCTCAGCTCCACTATACGATGCTGTGTGACTCTGGCAAAGTTGCACAACCTCTCTGGGCCTCAGCATACTGAACCAAAACTAGGGAATTCCCTCCCTACCTTCCTGTCAGGGTTGCTGTGGGAATGAAGAGAGAACACAGGGAATGGGTGAGTGGCCCATTGCAAAGTCTAGGTCAGTGGAGCAATCTTTGCAGGAAGAGAGCCGAGGTTTCAAACCTCACCCTGAAACATTCCAGCTGTGTGATCTCTGTAAATCACACACCCTTTCTGAGCCTTCATTTTCTAACAATCCCCCCCACACACACACACACCCACACACACAAACACACACACACACCATGAGCCAAGTCCTGTGCTCCACATGTTTTGGCCTTGACTCACTTGATCCCCACAATAAGCCTACAAAGTTGGTGCCATCATTAACCCCATTTTATTGAGGAAGAAACTGAGGCTGAGAAAGGCCAACCTAGGATTCACACCCAGCAGGCCGAGTCCTGATGCCTGCCCATGGCGTTCTTCTTCCTCACCAGATTATTGCATGAATCTCATTGGCTCAAAAAGCATAAAAATAGGATCGGGGCTCTCGAAATAAGTTAAGGAAGCCAGGCTCTCTGAAAGGAGATCATTAAAAAACACACACACCCTGATTAATGGAATATTTCAAAATGATCTGTTATGACACAAAGCGAAGACATTTATATATGACTTTGAAATTCTTAATAGCTGATTTTAGAGCAACCTATTATGAAATCTTCCAAAGCAGAATATATAGTAAGTAAATCATCAAGCAGGCCTCCCAGGCAGACTGACGGCAGCTCCTCTTAAAGTAATTTATACGCTGGGATGGGGGGAGGCTGGAGGAATTATCGCCATAATCATGTATTAATAAAATATTTATCAATATGACTTTCTCTTTTATCGTCACTGGTGGTGACAGGTATAAGTCAGGTCCCTGAGCCCACAGCAGAGGGGACGTCCCACCTGCCCAGGAGGAGGAACTGAGGCATCAAACTTCTCTGCTGACAGGTCAATAGGTGGGGGTGAGGGGCGGGGCTCCCTTGGCCTCTAGTGGCATTGGAGGCAGAGAGGGTTCAAATGCGACAACAGAAATAGAAAGGCAGGTGCCATCTACTTGCAAGACTCGCTCTCTTCCTCAACCTGCAGAGTGCTGGAGGGAGCCCGTGTGAGCGGGGCCGCCTTGGGACTGTCGCCTACTCAGGCTCAACAACGCGATAACTGGGTACCTGTAGCAGGCAGTGGGGAGCATCTCCCAGATGTCTAGATAGAACACAGCACCTTTACTCTGTGGGCCCAACCTTCTCTCCCATGTTCTAGAGCCTCTCTGCTTAGTACAGTAGCCACTGGCTAGGTGTGGCCATTTACATTTGTGCTAATTAAAACTTAATGCACTTAAAGGTCACTTCCTCAGTCGCACTAGCTGCGTTTCAAGTGCTCGGCAGCCACATGCGGGCAGTGGCTCCTGTGCTGGACGGCAAGGACAGAGAGCATCTCCATCACCGCAGAAGGTCCTACTGGCCGGCGCTGCTCTGGAAGGTTTGCTGGAGAAACCCAGCCACTGCCTTCTCCCTGGGCTTTGCCCGGCAGCCTCCCACAGAGCAGCCCCTGACACGCAGACGATGGTAGACTCCCCCCGCCCCATTTCATGGAGAGACAGCCAGCAGCCCAGGGGAGCGGGCAGGAAGGACGTACCTTTGCAGGCCCCCGCTGCGCCCAGGTGGTAGATAGCTGCCAACACCCGCCAAATGGCTCGCTGCTCGCTCTCCGAAATGCCCAGCGTCGCCATGGCACCCTGGAGCTGGGCGAAGGCAGCCGCCGCCCTCTGCTTGTCTTCGGGCTGAGGGCAAAGGGAGAGAAGAAGAAAAAGAGGTCATCGTGGTGGAGAAAATGCAAACTCACAATGCGAAGCCTCGCTCGGTCTCGGGGGAAGTGTGTGGTCACTTTTTGGCCACAATTAAGCCGAGGACGGTTGGCAGTCATTTCTGTCTGACTTTGGAAGGCGATACGATTCTTATTCATTCATGTGTCCATTCAGCAGATTTAGCGAGGCTCTGCTCTGTGCCAGCCTCCAGGGAGGCAAAGATGAGCGAAACCCAGAACTTGACTTTGAGGGCCTCTCAAGGTAGAAGTGAAAAGAGATTTAAAAAAGCAACTCAGTATGAAAAAGGCTAAGTGGTAGGATACGGGGATACGTGGGGAGCTACGGGACATCGGAGGCAGGAACGCACTAATGAATCCCACCCAGGGGGGCCAAAGAGAATGTCACAGAAGATGATACCAAACTGTGATTGGAGTTCGAAAGATAAACAGGCAGAGTTGACCCACTTCATGTAATAAAGGCCCTGATATGTACAAGCAGCAACACGACGAACAAAGATCTCTGGAGACAACAGATGGTCCCTGAACGTGGACACGGAACAGGCACTTTTGGAGGTGGGGCCGACAGAGAGGGGAGGAGCTGAGCATGGGGAGGCCTCCAACACAATATTAAAGGGCATGAGCTCTACACTCCAGCCTTGACTGGCAAATACACACCCCTCTCTACATGCCTGGACCTGTGGCAGACATCACTAATCGATCAAGATCCCACAGGAAGCCCATGAGTCCAGCTTCTTTTCGGGACATCACCCCTTGCGGCCACCACCAACTGAGCTACCGCAGCAACCGAAAGGAACCTGTGCGCCACCCCCAGTGCGAGCGACAGGACACCGCCGAGATTTTTCAGCTGGAGGAATGAGAAAATGACATGATCCGATGCTAATGGGTTGTAGAGCGTTATTTTTCTTTTTTAGATTTATGATCCCAATTATGTTTGATTGAATATTAAAATTAGTCTGAAACTCCCGCTCACACACCATCTGGCCAAGGAGACTCAGCCCAGAAGCCTGCAAGGCTGAGAGGAAGTGAGCCGGGGAGGAGAATTCTTTTGTCAGAAACCCACCAGCCCATGAGGAACTGATTTGCACTTGGACAGAGCTTAGGTGATACACTGTGGGCTGTTAAACCTGGCAGGTCCTTGAATTTGGTGGAGTCTGGTGCCCAGAGAGGGGGCGACGCTTGCCCAAGTCACACAGCAAATTAGTACCAGATACACAGGACTAGAATCAAGCTTTCCTGATTTCCCCATCCAGACCACCTGTCCCATCCATTCGAGCCACTTCCAACTCGGAAAGAATCCTGTAAGGATCACTGACCAATTGGGACAACGTCAAAGCATGCAGGGACATTGAAAGATTCGCTGTGAAAACATTTCGATTAATAGCAAAAGCATGTTCCACTGATCCATCATATTTCCGGGCCACCACAGGACCACAAAATCCCTAGCAACCAGGAGCTCAACCTAGCAACGGCAGCTGCTCCACTGGAGCAAACAGAGGGAAGGAAGGCATCTTACCAACATGGTTATTTATGAGATTTCAAAGTAGCCGTGAAAGGGCACCAGAGAACAGTGGGAACACATTTATTATGGCTCCCACTGTCAGCCCTGAGCACTTGACTTTAAATTACAGCCAGACTCCGTCCTCTGTCACTTAGCTCATGTGAAGAGAAGAATGAGAAAACTTCCAATAAAGGTAATTTGCTGCTTTTTCTCTCCAGCCCCACCCATCTCAGATACGACCGAAGACATGAAGGGACAAGAACGACTAGGATCAGGAAGATGTTGACTATTCCTTAAACTTCTAGAGAGCCAACATCTCTGCACTGCACCCTGATAAAGCCAGTCCTTGCACTGAACTCATGAAAACAAATCAGTGAAATCAGTGGAATAAGTCAACTCAGAGCCCAAATGCCTACCCACGGGCGAATGCTAGACAAAGGGTGGTACAGGTATGGAGTGCTACGCAGCTATGAAAAAGAACAAGCCACTGATACATGCAACCACATGTATGAATCCCACAGACCCAATGTGAGTCAGGACTGTTGGGTACAAAAGACCAACACACTGCGTGATCCCATCTTTGTGGGCCAAACTAACCTACAGTTAGAGAAGTCAGGATGGTGATCCTGGGGTGGGAGGGGGCAGGAAGGAGCTTTCGTCAGGATGAGGAAAATTCTAGATCTTGATCTTGTAGGTTTAAGAATATAATCATCATCGAATCGTACACTTAAAATACCTTTTACTATGTTTTACTCAACTAAAAAAAAAAATATTCAACACACAACATGCCCAGGGTTTATCTGATGCAAAGACTCAAGGTCAACCAAAGGCTGCAGGTAATTTAGTGAAAAAAATAATGAAATCCCAAATGTTCTGTCCACATTAAACTGGACTGTGTCTAGAGCACTCAGGGGCCAGGACTGGCGCTATGGGAGTCAAATGCTGAACACTGACTGGATTCAATGACAAAATGGCAAAAGGAACGTCGGTGCCTGAAGAACTGGGTGAACCTCGTGGAGACCATGGAGAGGGAGGGCAGGATGGTGAGGAGCTCCCCATCCAAGTGACTCTGCCCCGTGCTCAAAACTGACCAATCCACTGATTCGCTCTCATCATTGATGTTTCTCTCTCTCTCCCTGCAAATGGATACCTTGGCCAAAACTCATGAGCTGAACAAGAAAACTGGATGCTGGGACAGGCTCGCCTCCTCTGCCATCGAGGTCGAGGTCTGGGCTCCTACCTCCCCACCCCCCACTCGATCATGGGGAGAAAGGGTCTGAAAGAAGAACGTACTGCGCATTCCAACCCCCCCATGAAGGGGCAGCAGGAAGGAGAAGGGTGGATTAAACCCCGAATTTAACGATAGGGGAGCCACATCAGCTCACTCCATCCCACCCACCCACTGCAGAGACTCCACTGCAGCGGTTCTCAAAGTGGGGTCCCTGGACCAGCAGCATCAGCAACACCTGAGAACTTGTGAGAAACGCGTAGTCTCAGGCCCCACCTCAGACCTACTGAATCGGCGAGTCTGTGGGTGGTACCCAGTGGAGTCTGAGAAGCCTCCCCTGACTGAAGCCAAGTAGTTCTTCCTTTCATCTATCCTCTCGTCTCCACTGTATCCTTGCACCCTTTGGTGTATTCTCAGCCCGTGTGATTGCATTAATTCCCGTGTCTGTCTCTCCTGCTAGAGCAAAAATTCACGGATGAGGACCCTAACCCCAGCACTTCGCACAGGCCTGCTATAGATGCGAGGGGTGGGGACGGGAAGGGGGTCACTCAGAAAACATGTGTTAAAATAGAAACAAATTAATAAAAGAATAAACAAGTGAACAAAATTGGTTTTCTTAAACGGCTGAATATCATCGCTCAATGTCCTATCAGAGGCCACAGCTTCCAGGAAGCCATCTCTGACTGCACCTACCCACGTGACTCACCAATAATATTTACTAAGAATACCTGATTGAGTGACTGATTTAGGCCAAGCCCTGTCATTTCATTTAACCTTCACAATAAACGCATGAGGCAGACACAACTACTGTCATTATTTTACCAAAGAGGATACAGACGTTCAGAGAGGCTCGGTTCCATGCATGAGGTCACATGTCTAATGAGTGTCAGAGGTGGGGTTTGAACCCAGATAGCCTGTCGCCAGAGCCCACACGCTTACCTTTACCTAAACCACCTCCTGGTTCTTTTTTGTATTTCTCATCCTGACACGCCCAGACCCTACAAAGGAACCCCACCCTCCCCACATGACCAGCCTTTGCCAACTACAAACCCCAGCGGCAAAGGAGACGAGTCACATAGGAGATCTCTCCATCACCCTCCCATCCTGGCCACAGGGTCACAGACCCTGACACGCACCCCAGAAGGACCCCGTCCTTACCTTAGACCAAGTACCCATGCCGAAGGAGCTGCTGTCTGCCATCTGGTGCAGGTACAGCTCCGTCCTAGAAGCAGAGAAGGGACCAGAAGTGCACGTGACCTGATCTGTATTCCATTATTTGGAAGTTCAACTTGACAAATAATTGAGCATCTACCCAGTGCCAAGCCCTATGTTCATGCTGGGGAGGCAGAAAGGAATAAGACAGGGCCCCTGATCCAAAGATCTCATGGGCATTCTGGGGAGGAAGAGAGGCCAGCAGACCCCAGTGATGAGCCAGAATAGAACAAAGGAGAGACTGAGGGACCAGGCACCAGGCAGCACTCCTCTAAGGAAGGGATTCAGAGCAGGGTTTTGAAGGATGAATAGGAGTTTGCCATATGAATACATGGGAGAAAGGAAGGGCATTTGTCAAAGTGGACACCAGTGTTTGTCCCTTGGAAGCTCCACGGTGGATGAGGGAACAGCCTGGCAGCAATAGTGGTAAAGAAAGGCAGGTGGCTTAGGGGGTCTCTGGAGAGCCAGTTCCCAGCATGACCCTGACCTCCTGAGGAGTCTGAGATGTTCCAAGCACTTTTCTCCACTCTCCCGGGGCCTCTGAAACTCATTTGGGGCAGCCCCATCTCCTCACACACAGCTTTATCCTGGCTCCTAAGGATGCCACACTCGCCTGGGTCAGGCCCACCGACACAGAGCTCCCTGGACTGGGCCGGGCCTGGCGAGGAGGCCTGGAATCCTCTGCCGGCAGCGGCCAGCTCCTTCCTTCCCAGTCTATCCCGCGAGGAGCCCCTTCCAGGCAATAGCTCCATGCCCAGAACCCAGCTCCATGCAGGGGTACAGAACTGACAACCCCAACGTGGGGGGTCACCAGGGAGACGTGCCTGCCCTTCAGTGTTCTGAGATTAGGAAGTGGAGGAAACAGAGGCTGCAGAAGAGGATTCAAACTCCAGGTGCAGAGCTTACATGTTATACTCTCCCATGTTACACCCCACTATGCACTGCACACGGGGCCTGCTGCCCGGACAGGTGGTCTGATTTAAATATCCACAGACTGGCACTAGGAGGTACCCATTCTACAGAAAAGGAAACCGAGGTTCAGAGAGGACCACATGGGGCAAAGCCTGGATCTAAACACACATCCTTCTGACTCTAAAGTTGGTCCTTTACAGAGCACAACTGTCAGGATCGAAGGAGGGTAGCCCCCAGGAGGCCCCCCAAGATGAGTCACTCCACCCAGTGCCCACTTGTTCTGAAGTGCCCATTCAGGCAAACTCAAGGCCCCCACAAAATTTAGAAACTTCTAGAAGACTTGGGGTCTGCTGGTCTTGCCCTCCTCCCACGCTGCTGTCAGCCCTGTACTGACAGGCCCCCATCACAGCAGACGGCCTCTGCCACCTCCAGCATTTATGAAGAGCTACGTGTGAATCATCTCACTTAACCCTGTGAGGTTAGCCACGGTATTGTTTCCACCTTACAGAGGAAAAGAAACCGGGGTTCCGAGTGGATGACCCCCGCCGAGGTCACGCAGCCCGTGAGCAGTACCAGCAGCCGGGATCAGAGGCCAGGTTCATGGCCACTGGGTCCACTCCTCTCAGCTCTGGGCAGAGCTAAGGCTGGGCCCCGGGGGAGCGGATGCCCTTTGCACTACTGCCCTCAGCTGTCCCTGCCTGGCCCAGTCGCTCACCTGAGATCCAGGTCCAATCCCGCGAGCATCTGGGAGAAAACCTCGAAGGTGCCTTCCCCTTCTGGCTGCCGTGCCACGCGGCTCTTCTCCAAAAGCATGGTCTGCAAGAGGAGAGGACTGGCCCCTGGTCAGCACTTGGGCTGCATCGGCCCCCTGCCCGGTGCCCAGCTACCGTGAAGCCCCCAGAAGGGAGCCCTGCCCTGGCCCCTCCTGTGAGGCAACATCTCAGGTCCGAACTCCGCTGGACACCTGCGTCTCAGAACTGATCAGTCCCTGTCTCACTAACTCGGAGTCCACCTGGGGACTAATGCCATCGACTCGTTCCAAGGAAAGCATCCCAAAGGAAGAAGGATGACCTGGATCCACCCTCCGCCATATTCTTATTTCACAGAAGCCTTTAGTAATGTGACCCAGACGGTCATGAATGGCAGGATCTCAGGCTCAGGGTGGCATCGATGAGTTTCCCCGAGTCTGTGTATTACCCCAGCTCCACATACAAACACGGCTTCTAATAAGTTAATCCTATTTTCTGTTCAAACAGAATGTTTGAGGGGGCAGGGGAGGGATGCGGGTGCCTTGGGAGATAGGAGCAAGCAGGCCTGTGTTTGTCTGTTTCATTTCAGCTTATGCTACTAAGACCCAAACAATGAGCGGCTGGAAAATATATTTATTCATGAATATTTCATCCTCACGATATTCTGAGGTGCAAACGGGCCAGATTGCTCTAGGAGGGCACTTTTTGGGCCACTGAGTGAGGTGGGAAGGAGCTGGCAAAGGCTGGGGGAACTGTGACCAAATATTTAGACACATTCCAGGGTCCCAGGAGGCGTGGGCTCTGCTGAGTGGGAATGGGGATCCTGCAGCCCCAAGGACTCCCCTCTTCCTTCCACCCAGAGCCTCACCTGGAGCTGGGCAGCTGTGACTCGGCCTGTGGCATTGAAGTCCAGTGACATCACCATGGTGAACCGGGTGGCGCTGCGGCTGTGGCCCGTGGACACGGAGCCAAAGGCCCGGAGGAGAGTGAAGGTGGCTCGGATCTTCTCCACTGTGGGGGTCATGGGGTGCTGTTAGTATTATATTTCTTACAACTAGAAGAGCAATACTGCCGAGGCCATGTATTCCCAGCAGGGAGAATATTGCCACCGAGAGGGCAGAAACTGATTTTGGGGATGGGGTATTTTGCTTTCTTACGTATAGAGCACAGATATACATATATAAACAGACCACGGCATATCTATGGCATTGAAATTTCATAGTGGGGAGATGATTAGGGGATTAAATGTTTAAAAAGACTCCTTAAGGGAACAAAAATGAAAAACAAAACCCCACTGAGAACACTGGCCCAGGGATTACAGCTCCTGAGCCAGGCTGCCTGGTTTGAATCCAGCTCTAGAACAGATTAGTTGTGTGTGGCCTTAAGCAAGCTAGTTAATTTCTCTGAATCTTAACATCCTCATCTATAAAACTTAAATAAATAATATCCACCTTATAGAGCTGTTCTAAATAACAAATAAGCTTACATCTTTGAAAACTTATATGAGGCCTGGCATATAAGTCCTCAGCCAGTGTTGACTGTGACCATTACTAATATTGTAATTATTATTATTACTAATTGGCCTTGCTCAGACACCATCTCCCCCTGGAAGCTCCTGCCCCCTCCTCGTGTTCCGGACACCTCCCCTAACCAGCTCTGCCTGCACTCTGCACAGAGCATTCAAGTTCAGCACATAGAAGCAGCACAGGTGCCCTCTGGTGCCAGCGCCTCCAGGACACAGCCCCGCCCTCCGCCTTCACTGGTGGGTCCTCTGCACGCTGAGCAGGTGCACGCACAAGGCCCCCACATCAAAGGGGCTGCCCCTGCAGCACCCCGTCATGGGTCTGTATACGCATCAGGATGACTTTCTAGAGCCTGGCAGTCGAGTGTTCAGTTCTAACAGTGGCGGTGCGGGATGACTGTTCCACACGTGGCTGCAAGCGTCTGGAGGAAGGGGTACCTTTTCTAATTCACACAGAGGGGTGCCATGGACTGAGGCGGCCCTGCCATGTAGCAAGCACAGGGTCTGCACCCACGCTGAGTGAATGCGAGGTGAGTGGATATAAGGAGGAGCAGCCCGGCACCCCCTCCAGGCCTCCCTCCTTCCCCACAATCCTGCTCCATGGCCCCCATGGCCCCCGGAGCCACTGTACCTGAGACACTGCCATCCACACTCCCTGCCATCCCCACCAGGTGCTCCAGGACCTGCTCGCAGCAGGTGGTCTTGCCGGCGCCGCTCCGGCCCAGGGCCACGATGCTCTGGTCCCTCCGCTGGCTCAGCAGTGCCCAGTATGCCCGCTGGGCCAGGGAGACAATGTGGGCGGGCAGGCCATCCCGGCGGCCCTTGGGCACCTGCAGGAAGATGCCGGCATCAGCCTTCCCACCCCAGCTGGGAGCACTCCAAAACAGTGCTCACCCCGCCTCAAGTCCAGACCCATGGAACTGGCAGCATGAGGCTCGGTGGTGGCCTTGACAAAAGTCGGCTTTGTGTGGCCTTCAGGGAAAAGGGAAGAGGCATCGGAGACGGAGGTCAGGGAAGGGCACCAAAGGGAACAGTGGATGGGCCTGGCCGGAGGAGGACATTGGGAGTCGGGGATGCTAAGTGGGCAACCAGTGGCCCCAACAAGGCCTCATCTCCATCTCCGTGCCTTGGGGATCAGGGAACCAATTGCAGTGTGGTGGCCCTCCCCCTGGCATGGCCCTCCAGCCAGGTGCCTCCAGTCCCCCGTTGGCCTTTGTGCCCCCAAACCCCGAAGAGTAGTAATGAATCCCTATCCTGGGCTCAGCAGGACCCCACAGCTGGCAAAGGTGGGACAGGTTGCCTACGCTGCCTGGGCACAGCCTTAGGTCATGAGGCAACCGAAGGTCTGAGTCCTGAAGCCCCCTCCTCAGGAAACACTGAAGTTCAAGGGACAGGCTCCCTCATCCATCAGCTCCCTCCTGCCCACTGACCAGACCACAGAAGGAAGAATTCTGCAGGTCTAGGCTGTGTACACACACAGCTGCGTGCATGCACATATGTCCTTGCATTGTGCTTGTGCACTCTTGCATGCTTGCACACAGGTGTGCTCACAGGCACATGCACTCAACAGGTGCCGAGGGCCTGCACACAGAGGCAGGCCCATCTACCCCTGACAAGGTCACACCCAGCTCTCAGCCTCTGGGGGGCCCACACTGCCCCATACCTCACCCAGGCCATGGTGGCCCAGTCCCAGCCTCACCGCAGGTCTGTGCTCCCACCTGGTGGCCATTTGAGGAACCAGACGTGACTCAGACAAAGAACAGAAGGAGGTGGTGGGTTTGGGTGTGGGCAGCTGACGACTGGAGGGAAGGGTGGGGCACTGAGTTAAGGGTTTGGGGGATCAAGAGACTCGGGAGCATAGGAAGATCTCAAGACGTAAATTCCTCCTACAGGACTGCCCAACGCCTATACTTTTAGGCCCTTTCGTCCGGGTTCTATACGGAGGCTTCAATCCGGGAAAACCTGCGGGAGTCCACTTGCCTTGGGGCAGTGATGGCGAACCTATGACACGCGTGTCAGAGGTGACACGCGAACTCTTTTTTTTGGTTGATTTTTCTTTGTTAAATGGCATTGAAATATGTAAAATAAATATCAAAAATATAAGTCTTTGTTTTACTATGGTTGCAAATATCAAAAAAATTCTATAGGTGACACAGCACGTGTTAAGTTAGGGTTTTTCAAAATGCTGACACACCGAGCTCAAAATGTTCGCCATCACTGCCTTAGGGTCTGGATAAAAGTCCCTCCCAGGGGCTCCTAAGGTGCCAGAGGAGACACTCGGCTTCTCAGGAGGCTCAGCGGCCTTGGGCTTCGGTAACAGAAGCATGGCCCTCACAGCAAGGGAGGGAGAGTGCACAGCCGAGCGATCATCCTCCCAGACCCCTGGCCATGGACAGCCAGGCTGGAGAGGGGCCGGAGAAGTGACGAAGGGGTGAGGTGGGGAGTCCTGGAGAAGTCAAGTCTAGGGGAGGAGGGGTGCAGGGCCACCGTCCCCTCTTCAACGGACTTAGCATTGTTGGGGGGGGGGGGGGACAGGAATGTCCCATGGGACTCCAGAGGGCTTTTCATCCCAATTGACAGATGAGAAAACCGAGCCAGAGGCATCGTGATCTTTCCAAGGCACCTGCTGTGTGCCGGCAGGAGTCCAGAGGCCGCGCCTTCCCAGAGCAACACATCTTCAGGACAAAAGCGCCAGATAAGACGTCTGACCTCTAACAGGGCTCCCTGCCTGTACCTTCGCCCCCTTCCATCCATCCTCCACCCGGCAGCCAAGGGCATCCTCTTACAACGTAAGTCAAACTGTCACTGCTCTGCTGAACATCCCTCAGGCTCAGAGTAAAGCAACATCAGTATGACCAGGTATAACTAAGGCCTGTCCCGTGTCCCTGACCTTCTCGCGCTCCTTTTCCACACTCACCTGCTCCGCCCACCTTATCTTTATTATTCTCGGCCTATCTTCCCCGCCTGACTGGGCGCTCCACGGGGCAGGCTTATGACCGGCTCCTTCCCTGCTCCCTCCCCTGTGCCTGGCACACAGGGGACTGAATCCTATCTAAATCAATAGCCCCTGGATGAGTGAATGAAAGGGATCCAGCTCCAATTACCCGGTGGTGGCTAGGCCCTTCCACAAGGTGGCGCTGAGAGCTTGCCTTTGCTTTGTCCTGACAAAAAGCAGCCATTTCTGCACTTCCCAGGGAAAAGAAATAAAAGCAGAACCGAGGCTTCTGTTTCCTGATTTATGTGGGTGTTCAGGACTCCCCAGACCACCATGGGGTTCAGAGCACAGAGGAGCTGGCGCCCTGGGTCTTATCCTAGCTCCTCTGCTTGCTGAATGTGAGAGTCTGGCGACTGGCCCAGCCAGTTCCATCTGTAAAATGGGGTAGTTATGGTGTCTGTCCTTTCAGGGGGTGTGAAAATTAACTGAGATAACATGTAAAGGTGCTTGAAGCAGTGCCTGGTACAGAGTTGACACTCATTCAATATTTTCTCTCATTATTGTTATTATTATTATTATTATTATATTTAATCCTCCTATTGCTGTTTCTCATCCGCAGCCTGGTTTGCAGGGGGCTTTGGCTGCTCTATTCTCCCCTGAGATGCAGAGGGACCCCCACTCCACCCCTCCTGTCCCCTGCCCCCTTGCCCTGGTCCCCCTCACCTTGCCTGCAGAGGGTGCCGACGGCCCGTGGGGCTGGAGGACGATCAGGTCCGGCCCGGTGGAGGTGTGTGACAGCTGAGCCCGGTAGCGGTGCAGGAGCGTGTTCAGGACACTCGATTCATTGACACTGACCAGGGAGGCCAGGTCCTCGGCCTGGTCCAGCTCAGGGGGGTTGGCCTGTGAACCATCACAGAGTGTCCTGTGGCTTCTGGGGTCCCCACGCCACCACCACACCCCTTCACACACAGCCCTGCTGGCCCTGTCCCAGGAGAGCCGTGGGCCAAAGACAGGACAGAACGCAAGGACTCTGGAGAGAGTCGCAAACCCTACAACGGGCCTCCCTTTTCCTTTGCCCTTGGTGAGGCCCGAGAGCCACCCCTCTGTTCACACCCGACCCTCCTTCCTGTACCGTGAGGGGAGATGCTCAGAACAGAGACACGGCAAGACTCCGAGTGCCTTCTGCATCTCAAACTCCGTAAAAAGCGGTGGTGTCCCCAGTCAGGCAATGTCCCCTGAGCTCTCCGGTCCCGAGTCTCGCGGGGAGCGCTGCACGTGCTGTGACACTCAGGACGCAGGCCAATGGCCACACCGCCCGTTTCTCTGACAGTCCCTCGTGCACTGGCCCTTGGAGTCATTCCCCGGCCCTTCGAGAAGCCAAGGACGACTGCAGCGTCTCCCAGGGCATCCATCCTAAAGGGCTTCCTACCATTCTTTCCAGCTCCGAGGAGTTTTCTGGGCCTGAGGCTCTGGGGTTAGGGCCAACCCTGAGCTCGCCGACGGGTGAGCCTTTCTTCTGAGAACACTGGCGCTCTGCAAACTCCCAACACTATTGGGACTGGAGGGTCAGCGGTGGGCAGAGGAGTGCAGAGAGGAATGAAGATGACCAAGGCCCACCTGGGGCTCCTGGAGGAAACTCTTCCTTCATTAGTAGGCTTTGAAGGGGGGGAAAGGCTCAGGACCTATTTTTCTATCATTATTTGCTGATTTCCCCTCAAATAGATTGATGGCACACTGAAAAAATTGTGCAAAACAACTAAAAAACCAAAAGAACGATCAATACCCAAAATATATGCCATTATACCCTACCCTATGGTCCGTGGCAGGCAGCACATTGGGCTCTGAGTCCCCTGGCAGCCAAGGTGAGAAAGGAAACATGTTTTGTAGCATGATTTGCGATGCCCATAAAAAGAAAAGCAATTACGTTCTTGGCTCAAGCAGAACTCTCAGTCCTAAGACCTAACGAACATCTCTCTTAAACGTGTCTTCACAAAAGGGGACTCCGTGGGACAGAGTAATGACCCCCTAACAATATATCTCCAGCAGAGCAACAAGTCCAATGGCTTTATCCTCCAGGGCATCAAGCCAAAGTAGTGTCTGCAGTCGGTACACGAAAATCTCCAGCCAGGTGAGGCGGGACAGTGTGGAGCAGGCAGGGAGGGGGCGGGGACTCACCCGATGAACATGATCCTCGTCCACCTCGGTGACGGTTTTGTCCGCGTCAATGCAAAGTCGCACCCTTCCTGCCGGCAGGTCGGCTGTTCCCTCATCTGGCTTAAGCACCGTTGCTGGTGGACAGCCAAGGGGAGAGAGGAGAGGGGAGGGGAGGAGAGACGGGCTCTGAGCTGCTGAGCCAGGCCAGGGAGCTGCAGAGGGGGCCTGGCACAGGTCAGAGAGGGACAGCCTCCTCTCCCCTTGGGGCCAATTCACACGGAGGGTCCTGAATTGTGAGCCTAAGCCCTTTAAGGACAGAGGCTGGGTCCAACTCACCTTGGGCTGCTATCAGCTGGCACCGTGCCAGGCAGAGAGTAGGAACCCAGATGGCTGGGTGCACAACCCATCTCATACCTAGACCCGGGATGGCAGATAATGGCATACAGGCTGCCATTCCCCTTCCAGTACCCAAGACAGACATTACTAATCAATCACTCATCCCAGCCGCATCTGACTGAGACGCAGAATCGCTTCTCTGTAGAGTATGGTCACAACTAATGGACAAAAGTGGGCTTGTGAGATGAAAGCTATTTGCCCACCTGCACTCGACTCGATTCCTTGAGGAACACTGCAGGAACCAAACCAGGCTTGTGGGTGACATTAATGGATTAAATAACTAATTACCAAGGCTCCGATGTCTTTGAAAACAGAACCCAATAGACCAGCTGCCAGAAGTGAAATGACACTTAACTATTCCCACCGCAAAGAGCCGCATATCCCCTTCCTGGTCTCAGGGGCTTACTGCTCACCTTGCTCCCCAGACCACGCTCAGGACCTGCAAACATGGCTACCAGCAGCAGGGGGCGCAAGAGGAACAGACTTAGATCACTGCCACCACCCCTCACCCCCTAATTACCAAGAGTGAATGTGCTAAAACCCCTAATTACCAAGAGTAAATCCATCCTTCTGAACCAGCCAGACTTTCTCTGCCTCGTACCATCTGTCCTCTGGAGCCTGAGAGCAAAGGTCACAAAAATTAAACCAGGATGACACTGCCTCTCCCCACCCCAATGTGAGGGGCGAACCCCTTCCATGAGAGTTCATGGGAGCACCCCAATCAGAATCTAAGGGGTGGGAGGGTGCTGGTTTCCATGCAGATGCCTGGGCTCCACCCCTGGCCTTTGGAATGAAAGCTCCAGGGGGGCCTGGGGCTCTGCATTCCCAGCAACCAGCTATTTATACAGCCTGTTTGAGAACTGTGTGGCATTGTAAGCTCAGCCACGCGGGGGCACCTCCCTCACGCTGTGGGACAGGGGCAGGGGGCACTTCAAGACCCTTCCTTGTCAAGGAGGAAGTGCTTGTCCCTTCCTCTGAGCTGGCCACGTGGCCACCCCTCTCCAAGGGATGTCCATCTCCTGCCCCACCCTCTTCACCTCCAGGGGCAAGTCTGTCCCATCCCCCTTCTCTGGAAGGTCCGGCTACTGCTCCCCACTCCAGGCTGCAGCCCCTCACCTGGTCCAAGTCTCCACTCTGGCTTCCTTCACTCCCCTCCTGCAGGGCTGGTCCCTCTTGGTTCTCCTGCCTCTGAGGCCTCTCTGCGTGGCTCTCCAGAGCAGGTGGTCTGGGTGCTTGCAGCTCCGTCTCCAGGGCCCCGGCCCTGGCATTCACACTTCTGCAGGGCCCCTCTGCTTCCTGCCCTCTGCTGTCTGGCCGGCTCTCCTTCCCAGCTACACTCACCTCCTTGGGGGCTTCACAGCCCTGTGTCTTAGCCCCAGACTCACTGTGAGGCCCACGTGCTTCCTCCATCCCTCTGGGAGCCTCCTCCACCTTCCCCTGCACTTTGTGGCTCTCCTTCCCGGCTGCACCCACCTCCTGGGGGGCTTCACAGCCCTTCTGTGTCTTAGCCGCAGCCTCCCCTGCCTCCCCAGACTCACTGTGAGGCCCACGTGCTTCCTCCTTCACTCCGGGAGCCTCCCCCACCTTCCCCTGCACTTTGTCCACCTTCTCCGCCTTGACCTGCGATTGGCCTGTCTTCTCCGCCTTCCTCAGGAGGGCACCTTCTTTGTCCTTCTTCTGGGGACCATCCCACCTGCTCCTGCCCAGGGAACCTCCCCACTTTTTCACCTGGGTTTGAGCCCCGGCCAACTTCCCTTCAGCCAACTTCCCTTCGCCCCCTGCATCCTTGGAGAGATTCCCCTTTGCCATCTTGTTTGTGGAGTCCGCTCCCCGCTTCTCCACTGTCCCTGGTCGCCCCCCCTCACCTGGCCCCTCTTTGCCCTGGGGCTCATCCCCTTTCAGCCCTTTGGTCTGAGGGGCCTCACCCCCTTTCCCCGCTGTGCCTTGATCTTTCTCGCCTTTTGTCATTGGCACAGTTCCTGGATCCCTAGGACCCCCAGTCTGGGTCTTCTCAGCCTTCAGGGCTGCGTCCTCAGTGCTGGCCTGGGGACCACGAGGAGCTGGTGGGGCCTTCCCCTCCTTTCCCCCTCCAGGGTCTGTGGCCGGGGATGGGGTCTTGCAGGCGGGGGCGTCACGGGGCTGGGTCCTCTGCTCTGGCTTGGCTGAGTCTGGGTCCAGCTTGGCCACCATCAGCAGCACATCGCCCCTCCTCACGCCCCTCTTCAAGGGCAGAGGTTTTTTGGCTGGAGCCGCACTGGGGCCCGATTCCTGGGCCTTCTCGCCGTTGATGGTGGTCCTCTGTGTGGGCTCCGTGGGGCCGGGCCCCTGGCTCTGCTGGCCCGGAATGTCTGTGTTCTGGGGAGAGCTTGCCTGGTTGTCCTGGGAAATCTTTGGGCTTCCAGACTTGGTATCACTGTTGGACTTGCTGTTGGGTTGGCTAGTGGAAATTTCTGGAGTCTAGGAGAGAGACCACAACCATCCTTAGCTGCTTGCTTACCTGACAGCTTTGTCCTTCGCTCATTCACTCACTCATTCGTTCATTGATTTGTCCACCCAGCCACTCATTCATCCAAAGACTCTCAAGCACCTATGACATCTGATGGGCACTGTGCTGGGCAATGAGCCAAACCCCCGCACCGTGGATGTTGGCCCAGCGCCTGGAGGCCAAGTGACAGAGTGAAAGGAGAGTGGACTTTGGAATTCAACAGACTCAACTCCAAATTCAACTCCTAACCCACTAGCTGTGTGGCCTTAGGTAAATTCCTTGCCCTCTCTGAGCCTGTTTCCTAATGAGGACCATAATGGCCTACCTAGCGGATGGGCATGAGGATCCATGATAATATACAGAAACTGGGCCCAGCACTTAGTGAGTCCTCAGTAACAGTAGCTGCCACTGCGGCCATTGTTACTGCTGTTGGCACTGTTTGTTTTTTTGTTTGTTTTGTTTTGGCCTCGCTTCTTGCTGGGACAGAGAAAGGACTGGGGCCTGTCATCAGAGGACCTGTTCTAGTCTTGGCTCACACACTCTCCAGCTGGGTGACCATGAACACCATCGTCCATCCTCTCTGAGCTTTGGTCTTCCCTCAGGGCAGGTAGAAACCACTGCCCATTCGGATGTTTTGCAGGATGAGATGCAGAAAAGCACTTTGGAAACCGCAGGGAACTGAACAAACTGAGCTGCTGCTACTTCTGCTGCCCTGGTCCCGCGCCCCAACCCCCATACCAGGTGAGGGCCCTGGTTTCTGGCCCTGAGGTCCTCCGCTCTTGCCTGATGTGGACATTTGGGCTACGTCACATCCATGGGGTGTCCGCTGCCTGCTCCTCTGCTGGGCCCTTGTACTGCCTAGTGATGTCAGCCCTCCCGAGCCCTCCGTCCTCAAACAGGCTGGCTGTGACCTAACTTCTCACAGGGCCAGCTTTGCCTCTTCTGGGCAGTTCCAGCCTGGTGCCAGGCATCCCCGGCTGCCCTCGTCTGGGTTTTTCCATCACGGGCCGTGCCAATGCCAGCCTGCCACACATCTGAGCCTGGGATCTAGGGTTCTCACCCTCCTCCTGCAACTGAACCAGCCCCAGGATCGTGCCGATTCCGCCCTGCAAAGCTTCACATCTGTGTCTCCTGTTCCGAATCCAGGTCTATTTCCCAAGCCTCTGAAATGGTTTCCCTTCAATGTGCTGCCAGTCATTTCAAACCCAATCGAAAGGTTTTGGCAGCTGCCACAGCCTACCGGAAAATCATTCAACACCACCACCTTCCATTTAAAGTCCTCAACCAGGAGCCCTCGCCCCCATTCTGGTTCCTTTGTCCCTGTTTATCCCCATGCTTCAGCCACACCAGACACTTCCCTGCTTCCAGGCTTTTGCTCATGTTGAGCTTGCTGCCTGGAATGCCCTTTCCCCTCCTCGCTCACCCGTGTGCTTCTCATCTTTCTATACCCAGCTCAAATGCCACTGCCTCTGCAAATCTTCCCCTGGAGACCTCAATCAGAAATTCTCTCATGGAGTCCCAGAGTCCTGTGCTAGCTCACCATCGGCAGCACCGACCACACTGTGCATCCTATTCCAGCTCCAACTGTGTCTCTCTCCTGTTTTAGATGGTGGATGCCTCCAGAACACAGTCTCTACCTGCATTTTTGTAAAAATGGCAATAATATTGATAATAATAGCTGTCCTATATAGATCCCTCGGAATGAGCCCTATACCGCCGTTATGCAATTTCCTACTCAACCCTCATAAGAACACAGTGAAGGAGGTTCTGAACATCTCCACACGCTACAGACAAGGAAGCAAACACAAAGACACCAGGTGGCCCAAAAGACAAAGAAAATATAAAGCCACGCCGGCCTCTCTGAGTCTAAAGCCAGTGCCTGTAACTTCTGCATATTAATGGCCTTACTTGTCTTTCTAGGGCTCACTGGAATCTTCTGGGATATTTTTAAAATACTGATGCTTAGGCCCCCCTCCCAGAGAGTCTGATGGATTTGGTCTGGGTTGTGGTCCCCCCAGGTGGTTCCAATGTACAACCGGGACTAAGAACCCCAACTCTAGTGCCCAGGCCGAGTAGCTCAGCCTGACCTTCTGAAACCAGTAGGGTACCGCCTTGGAAAGGGACCGGCTGCACTTGGCAAGTATCACCACTGACTACACCAGTTTGAAAAATGAGTCAGTGCCTTATTTTTAACCAAACCACCACAGGGGAGACTAACATGGGAGGGGCCGAATAAGATCACCAATCCCATCCTCCCACCCCCACCCCACCCTAAAGGATGAGAGTTTATGGGGCAGAGGACGCAAGATCAGATTGGTTATTTTTCTTTCATAAACACCAAAGGCCTAGCCCTCTGCAGCTTTCTTAAACTCACACACATCCATTTTACAGAGGAGCAAACTGAGGCCAAGAAGGGAAAGGGATTTGGCCTGAACCACACAGAGTGGCGAGGCCAGAACTGGAACCCAGTTCTCCTGGCATTTGATAAGGGTCTCTCTCTACCTCAGTGTTGTCCTGGCCTCTTGCTGTGCCTCACTGGCCCTGGGAAAACCAAGTTACCCCCCTGAGCCTTGTTTTCCATCCCTACAGAACGGTGATGGATTCTAATCGCTCCCTGCAAGGATTATATGAGGGCCAAATGAAACGCTGTGCTGGGATGAGGAGGGTGTCCATACTTATTTACTGATTGGGATAAGAAAACGGAATTGGCAGGAATAGCCACAACCTGCTGCCTCACAGAACCATGTCCTGAGGCTGCCCTGCTCCAGGCCCTGGAGCATCTTGGCCCATGGTCCAGCCACCTGTTGAGGTCTGAGGCCTGTCCATCCTACATCTTGGCTCTGAGTCTCCATCCAGGCCCAGAGGTGACAGGGTGTCCCCAGCCTCTGCTCAGCTCTGCTCCTTTACTGGTGCACAGTGACGCCAGCAAGGCCGGCAGCCCCATGGAGCCCTTTCCTCCCAGGCCTCTGTGACCCACACAAGCCACCTCACTCCCCAAACTGGCCCTACCCCAGGCAGCTCTCCAGAGCAGAGAACACACAGACTCACACCCTTACTCTGCCTCTATCTAACCTCATGACCTTGAGCAAGTCTCTTGACTTCTCTGAGCGTATAATCCCATCTACCCCAATGCCACACAGGGTTTCAAATAAGCCCATGAGCAGCACAGTGAACACTGTCTAGTCATAAGTGGCACACAGTAACATCTCATCATGACCTAACAACAGCCTACAGGGGTCAACTTTAGCTCCCACTCATGCTTGGGTCAGGCGGGGTGGGGACAGAGCCTGTCCTCCCTGTCATCCTCCGACAAAGACTTGGCAGGAGTGTCTCAGCAGCTGCTGCTGTTCAGCTGCCGGAGGACTTCTCTGATGCAGCCAAGTCATTGTCATTGGACAGGTGCAGGCACGTGGGGGCCGCCGAGCAAACAGCAGCTGAAGGGGAGTGGGGGGCAGAGCCAGGATGGCCCCTGGGCTCAAGCCAACACTAGGTCCTGAGGCTACTAGTTTCTCAGCCTAAACATTGCAGCATCCACCTCACTTCAAGGGGCCACTGGAGCCCATGAGGAGATGCCCTTTTTGCCTAACACAGAGGGACTATTTCCAGAGCTACGCTACGTGAGCTGGGTTTTGAAGGATGCATAGGAGTTCAATAGCCCAAGCTGAAAAAAAGAACATTCCTCTAGGTGCACTGTGCTCTAAGCCTACCTCCCTGGTGTCTAGTGCCATTATCCTATCCAGGTTCCCTGGCCAAGGAGCTGGGGATAAGGAGGGAGACAGCAGTGGCCACCCGCAGGAATACTTCTGCAAGTCCCTAAAGCATAGGGGGTGCATCTTGGCCAACTACTGCTTTAATCCAGCTGTGCTATTCAGAATAATTAAGGATTTTTAATAGACACCAACCAATCAGAAGGGAAGCCAGCTGGAACAGGGTACTGAAGTTCCTGCCTGTGCCAAACATTAACCCTTTAATTCCTGGATTGTGGCCATTCCAAGGAACTAAGGAAAGGGGCCTAGATAAGCACAGCAGCTGGAGGTACTTGGGGGACTTGGGGCCCTGGCTGCAAAGAAGCCTGGGAGGGGGCCGAGGAGGACAGACATGATATGGAAGGGTTTCAGAATTTGAACACTCAATACAGCTATAAACCCTGAGTAGCAAATGAATATCTTTCCTGCCTCAATTAAACTGAGCTAACCATACATCCTTCGCTAATATCCCGGTTTCTCTTTCTGCAAAAGTGAGATAAAAAGACGCCCACAATCATCATCAACTAATATCATTCATTCATGAAACAAACAGGCGTTGAGCACTCCCGACGGGCCAAGTACTATGAGAGCTGCTCAAGATACAAGGTTGAATGAGAGAGCTGTTGCTTTTAAGGAATTCCTAGTCAAATAAGTCATATGGTCAAGTAATTACTATGCCGACCACAACTGAGACAGGCACAGAGGGTGCAGGTGCAGTGGGAATCAGAGGAAGGCAGGCAATGGGAGAGCTTTCTGGGGATGTACACTTTAAGCTGGGTTCTGAAGGATGCAAAGGAGTTCCACAGACCAAGCTAAAAACAGGAACCAGTGGGGATAGTAAGAGCCAAGGCAAGATGGCAAGAGACTCAGGAGGTGCACGGGACAGGAAGGTGGGTGACAGACACCTGGCCCCTTCCTGCAGGGCCACTTACCTCTTGCTCTGGAGAGGCGAGCACCGCCTGTTTCTTCCGTCTTGCTTCCTTGGACTCTTTCTCAGTCTCCCGGACCAGCTGCTTAATGAAGCCGCCTGGGATGACAGAGAAGAGGGGAGGGGGCGAGGACGGCGGAGGGCTCTTCTCCTCTTCCCGAATCTGTTTTGCAGAAGAAAGGGAAGAGCTCGGTGAGTGAACCAACAGGGGCAAGTTGCCCTTTCAATGATTTGCAAAGAAGCCTGGGAGGGGGCCGAGGAGGACATACATGACCAAGCCCATGTATGAGAAGCCACAGCAAAGCAGGTGAGGCTCAGTGGGGCGCTGGGAGGGCCCCCCTTGAAATGCAATGCATGCGCAGCAGAGATTACTCCAGCCTGGATCCAGTGTCCTCATAATATGGATCTGGGTCGTCAAGGCCACTAGCCCCCTTCCTGGGTGTGGGACAGACCCATGTCCAAAAGGAACTTTTCACGTTTCCAGAAGGGGCTGGATCACAGGGAACCATCTAGTTTGTACTTAATAGATTAATTAATCAATCAATGAATCACATAACCAGTTATGTCAGGGGTCCTCAAACTACGGCCTGCAGGCCACATGCAAATACAAATATTGTATTTGTTCCCGTTTTGTTTTTTTACTTCAAAATAAGATATGTGCAGTGTGCATAGGAATTTGTTCATAGTTTTTTTTTAAACTATAGTCCGGCCCTCCAACGGTCTGAGGGACAGTGAACTGGCCCCCTGTTTAAAAAGTTTGAGGACCCCTGAGTTATGTGTTCCTGGCAGAACAGTCAAAGTAGAGAAGGGCCTGCAGCCATGATTTATAGAAGGGTCCAACCCCATGACTACAGCCCACTCCACTGACCCGGTGCTGTGGCTTCTTAATGCTCCTTAAACAAGGACCCGGGCAGCCAGGGCCCCCAGCTCTGGGCCATAAAGCTGGCAGGCTGGACACCAGCATTTTACCGCAGAAACATGGCCCAGGCCAGTGCCGACTGGAGTTGGGGTGCAGCTAAGACGGCTTCCTTGGCCACAGCGACCTTTGGGAGCTGAGGCATGCATGGGACTGGCTATGGCCCCCTGCGCTGTGTCTTTAACCTGTAACACTGTGACAGCTCATGAGGAAACAAAAATCTCCAGTGCTTTCTATGGAAGAGCTCCACACTGGTTTAAAATAAACTGCTTATCAAGGCCCTCCGTGTGTGGCTGGCAAGGACTCACAGCCAGGCTGATAAGACAGGGACTCCAAAGAAGATAAGGTGACAACGCAGGGGCCACAGGGCAAGGCAGGTCACTGCTGACCTCTGCCCAGCTAGAGAGCAGCGGGGCCATGTGAGGCCGGGCTCACGTTTACGCCACGCCTCTCCCTCTCCTGCCTGAAACCCACGTGAGTGACTCCTAAGGCAATTCAGCTGGTGCAAACTCTGCTTCTTTCAGGACTATGCTCAGTGGTGGAGGCAGCAGCCAGGAGGCACCAGGAAAGGAGCTTCTCACCCACCCCACCCTTCAGCCTCCGATTCATCAAGTCCTAAGCATGAGGGTGGGATGAGGGGCGGAGGACGTAATAGGCATCAAAAAAAGAAAAGAGGAATAACTGGGGAGAAGAGCTCCTTTCCAGTTTCCCATGGTGACAAGAGGCAGGGACCACAGACACCCGTCCCCCTGGCATAAGCCTGGCAGCCAACAGCTGGGCCCCTTCCCCACTGCCCACACTCTTCCTCCCACACCAACCCCTGTGCTCATCAAAACTGCCAGGAGGATGGAAATGGGACAGCTGGTCTACCCTCATTCCCTCACTGCCAACTGAGGAACAGGAAAGACGAGGCAGTCATGGGTGGAGTCAAGGGCATGGTCACTACAGACCAGCTGGGTTGGACAGTCCCAGGCTAGCCAAGCTGCCGGGGAGAAGATGGACGGTGGGGCTGGACATGCGACAGGGAGGCGATGGATGTCAGACCCTCTGCCTGAGGTGGGAGGGGGCAGCCTGGGCCACCCATGCTGAGTGTGACGGGTCCTGCGGCTGCAGCCCGAGCTCTGAGCGTTACTTTCCTTCTGCTCCCACAGGGCGAGGCGAGATGAGATGGCCATGCTGAGACAGTGCCAGGGCCAACTGATGAGATGAGATGAGATGAGATGCAACTCTGTCAGCCAGCAGAGAATGAAGCTACAGACATTGAACACAGCACATGAGGTGAATAGACACAAGACTGAGACAAGGAGACACAGTGGGGGAGAGAAGAGAGAGACAGGTTAGCTCACAGACACTGTCCCACGCCAACCCCCACCGGTGCCAAGAACCAAGTCCACACAGCCAGGCACAACCCAGTCATGTACACCTGGGAGGAGTATGGTCAGATGGAGGCTGCTGGCTATGTGGACAGTGCCCTGAAATCCTTCTTCTCTTGACCCCACCCTGTAATCTTTTATTGAAATATAGCACACAATCAGAAAAGTACATAATCATAAGTGTGTTAGCTCAGCAGCTCTCACATAAAGAACATACCTCTATAACCAACACCCTGATCGAATATTATTTTAGATCTTTTAAGTAAAAACATTTTATTTGAAACTATAAATTAAATTTAAAATAATTTCAATTAAAATATTAAAAATAACATTTATTTAAATGACATTTAAAATAGGATTAATAATTATTTTAATTTAAATTGTTAAAAAAATAAATTTTAATCAAATAAAACTTAAGACATTATTTTATTTAAGAAGTTCAAGAACAGGCAAATCTAATCTATGGTGATGGAGGTCAGAAGGGCTATTAACTTTGGGCTGGGAGGGGGCACAAGGGAATGATGGGGTGATGGAAATGTCCTACAGCTTGATCTGGGTGATGGCTACAGAAGTATTATCATATGTAAATATTCAATCAGGATGTAATGTAATGTACAATTGGGATTGAATATTTAACTATATGTAAACCATATATCAATTCAAGAAATAAAAAGACCATGACCAGCCCCCTTGATCGTCCCTCATGGCCCCTTCTAGTTACCATTCTCCCAAGGGCAACCACCATCCTGACTTCTAATACCATAAAACAGTGCTTTTTCCTTTTGTGAGGGAGCAGTGGGCTCCTCAGTGTGGCCATGCAAATTAGGAAAAGGGCAGGAAACCAAGGCAATTAACTGACCCAGCAGGCTGGGGAGACAATTTAGCTTATTTAGCATCATATTGAGAGTCTTATCAAATGTTCATAACTTTGGACCTAAAAAGCCCTCTTCTGAAAACAAGTTGGAGGAAGTAATCCAAAACCAGAAAATTTCATCACTATGTTGATTGTAGTGCAAAAAGAAAAAAAGAAAAAGAAAAAAAGACACAACCAAGTGTCCAATAACTAGAGAATGTCGAATAAATTAAAGTGCATCTAACTTGAAGGAATATTATAAATTTGTTGAAAAGAGTATTTAGGAAACATTTTAAACAGTTATATTGAGGTATAAATTCTATGCCAGCCATACAATTCGCCCATTGTAAGTATACAATTTGATGATTTTTTGATAAATTTACAGTTTTCAAAATAAATCTACAGATTTTTACAACCATCCCCGCAATCCTATTACCCGCCCCCCCCCCCCAAAAAAAACCACAAAAACCTTCATGCCCATTCCCACTGTCAGCCCCAGGCAACCAACCACTCATCTATCTTCTACCTCTATCCTTGCCTTTTCAGAACATTTAATATAAATGGAATCAGAACGTGCATCTGGCTTCTTCCAGTTTGCATATTTGTGAGGTTCACCCACACTGTTGTACATATCAGTGCCCCGTGCCTTTCTGTCCGCTAAATAGCATTTCATCGTAAAAATGGACCACATCTCCGGTTATCCATTCACCAGTTGATGGACATCTTGGATTGTTTCCAATTGGGGGCCGTTATGAATAATGCTATGAACAGTCACGGAAATCTTAGTGTGCCCCTCTGTTGCCATTTCCCTTGGGCAGATTCCTGGGAGTGAGTGGCATTGCTCGGTCGCACGGTGACCTTATGTTTGACCTGTTGGAAACGGGTTTCCAAAGCGGCTGCACTATTTCCGGTCCCGCCCACAGGGCACGAGGCTCGCAGGAAGCACGGGCAGGAACGCGGGAGGGGGCTCGTGTTGGCCTTTAAAGTGAAGGAAAGTACAGCGCGATTTTGCACACACGGAAACTATGCCAATGGGCCAATGAACAACACGGCACATAGAAAATGAAGGCTGGGAGGAAACACACCAGGATCTTGGCATGAGTCCCTTTCTTCTCCCTTCTAGCTCGGAGGGCACTGTCCCTCACGGACCCCCCACCCCCACCCAGGCCCCTCCTGCAAGGTGCTACCGCCTCCCCCGCTGTCAGAGCCACCAAGGGGTTTTCGAAGGCATGCTGGCCTGGGAGTTACCGCTCTCGGTGACTTAGGCCTAAGAAGACGCCTTGGGCAGCGTTCAAAGCAAGCTCTCCTCTCGTGGGGGCAGCGGCACATCCCGGAAGCTGGTGAGCCCACCTGGCGCCCGCGCCTAAAGCCAGTTCTCGTCTCGCGAGAGCTTCTCGCGAGAGCTCCTCGGAGCAAGCATCTCTTTCCAGCTCTGCGTAGGGCGGTGCCACGTTAGTAGCTTACAATCGGAGTGTTTACGCTGCTGAAATTGGCAAATACTACTAATCAGGGTTTTTATTCAAGGAGCTGGCCGTTCAGTATTTACCAGGACGCTGCCACTGGCTGAGACCCCAGCACTCCTACCGGGCCTGGCGTGCAGGGAATCTCAAGATCCAAAGATCCAAGAAGGGACATTTCAGCTCTGAGGAAGTCACATGCCCATGCGGAGACCCTGCAAACATTTCCAAGTGCAAACAGCCAAGGCTCTGGCTTCAGGAAAAGCCCCCGCAGTGTGGGCTGTCCATCTAGCAAAGGCAGGGGAGCCGGATCCGCAGAAGGCCAGATCTCCGGGGAGAGGGCTACAGGAGGGCTCTCAGCCCCTCCCCACTCATCCCCTGGGGAGACACCGGGGATGCCCCTGAGTGACACACAGCCAGAAGCCATTCCGCTACAGCCTGGGGAGCGGAGCCCAGGTTATGAATAGGCCTGGTGCGAGGAGGCTGCCCTGGCCACCGCCCGCCCCCCTTCCCATCCAGCCCAGCCAGGCTTGCTCAGTGGCTGCTTCCCAAGAATCACCCTCAGCTTCAAGGCTCCAGGGGGAATCCTGACTGTCAGTCTGGGCTGTCCTCAGGGGCTGCTGGCCATGCCCAGAAGACATGGATGACAATGAGAGGGAGCTCAGTGTGGGTCCTTCACTCCCCCAGTCCTGCCCCTCAGAGGCTCCGGGCCAGCCCCACTGACCCAGGGCCAGGAGCCAATCCTGCTGTCAAGCCTTAATTTAAGCAAGTGTTCTTACCACCACATTCCCTTCCAGGCCTGAAACTCACACCTGCCTCCTCGGCAGCTGTTTTAAGCCCACGAGAAGGCCCCAGATGCTCAGAATTCATGGTAGAAAGTCTCAAGTCTCCCCTACAGGGTGAGGGAAGCTGGTGAAAGGAAAGGCAGCCCCAAAGCCAGGGATGGTTTGGAGCAGTTTTCCGTGCACACATGCTAGATCTGAGTGGCCCCAGAGGGCTCTCAAGGTTCCCCCTTAAAAACCCCCCCCCCCAAACGTGCGGTACTGACACAGCAGCCTGTGACTTCTCTTGACTCATAGAACATTGTCAAGTCTTTTAGTGGCCGCCAGGGCCCTCATGACCACCCGTCCTAACACCTCTCCCCCTTGCTCCTCCAATTCAGTGACACTGCCCTCCCAGGTTCCAGCCCCAGCCCCCCTCACAGGACTCTCTCATGGCCTCCTACCTTCTCCACCCAATCACCCACTTTGCGCTGTGACCACATGTCTTAGGTCACTCCTGGGTCCTTGCTCATTTCCATTTTCATTTAGAATTCTCTTTCCCACCGTTTGGCTGTGAGTGTGTTTATTCCCCCAGCTTGATCACACTGTCCTGTGTTATGCTGTCCCCCATGGACTCAGGTTGAGGCCCAGTCTTGTAGGTGTCCCGGAACTCAATTCTGACATTATCTCAGGGAGAAAGCATCAGATTCCACAGGTAAAGGGCTCAGTCCCACAAAACCACCCTCTACTTCAGACACCCCCTGCAAATCCAGGTTGTTAGCTGTGCCTCTGTCCAACCAACCAGCTACAATGCCAACAGCAAGTCCAGGTTGCTCCCGGTACAGTAGCCCCCCCCCCTTATCTATGGGGGATACATTCACAGACTCCTAGTGCAGTGGTCGGCAAACCGCAGCTCGCGAGCCACATGCGGCTCTTTGGCCCTTGAGTGTGGCTCTTCCACAAAATACCACGTGTGGGCACGCACGTACGGTGCGAAGTTGACTTAAAACTTTAAGTAAAGTTTATTAAGTTAATTTTAGGGAACGTTGTGGAGTGAAAGAAGATGTAGTGTCGAGGATTGAGAAAGGTATGTTGAGATGGTTTGGACACATAGAGAGGATGAACGAAAGGAGATAGACGAAACAAGTATACAAGACGAGTGTGGATGGGAGAGTTGGAAGGGGTCGACCTCAGCGAACGTACCTCAATCAGATTGAGGACGTTTTTAGCAAAGGCCAGCTGAGGAGTACCCTAATTAAGTTAATAACAATGTACCTACCTATATAGTTTAAGTTTAAAAAATTTGGCTCTCAAAAGAAATTTCAATCGTTGTACTATTGATATTTGGCTCTGTTGACTAATGAGTTTGCCGACCACTGCCCTAGTGGAAGCCTGAAACCGTGGGTAGTATCAAACCCTATATATGCTATTTTTCCCATACACACATACCTTCCCGCGAGATTTCATAACGAGACTCCGAACGGCGCCCAATTTAAAACTAAAAATTGTTTATTTCTGGAATTTTCCGCTTAATATTTTCAAACGCGGTTGACCTCAGATAACTGAAGTCTTGGAAAGCGAAACCACAGTTGAAAGGGGACTTTACTGACCTTCGGACCCACTGGCTGCAAATCAGAGGTTCCCGTGACCCCCTTCCTTGGATTCGATCAATTTGCTAGAAGAGCTCACATAACTCAGAAACATGTTACTTACTAGGTTGTGGGTTTATTATAAATGAATAGGACTCGGGAACAGCCGGATGGAAGAGCTGCACAAGGCCGGGTATGGGGGAAAAGGTGCTTCGAATAATAAATAGAAGAATAGAAAATGAGCCGACACCGCTCT